CTTTTTTAAAAAGAAACTCAAAATTTAACTGCATAAACTTAATATTCTTTTATGTTGGTAGAGAATCTATGGATTCTAGGTTACATTAGAGTTTTTGGTAATTTAACGACAGACAAACTTGTCCGAAAAGATACAGCTTCGTAACTTGTAGGCACATAACCATTGTGTTACTTAAGGAAAGATAATTACTTTTTGTTCATTTAGAAAAAGATTTCATAAACACGATCATCTAATAAAGAGTTTAAAGTTAAGTCAGCTGTTCTAAACAACCTCACTATGCTGTAGGTCAAAGAATGGTAACATAGTACTTTAAATATCGGGCTTTATAAGTGATATTTTTTACAAAGAAACCATAAGCAAAAAGAAGACGCCCCTGCTCGGCATTTATCTCTATACTAGACTTTTAATGGAAAGCATTGATATCAATTGAACTTACAACTTTATGTTTTTACATCCCGAGGGATCAGCTAAATTGGCATATAGCTTAGCAGAAAAGGTTGATAAAAATAGCTAAGTTTATTACAATCTGTTTTCAAATAGACCCGAAAACAAAATTCAGAAACAAAAATTCTGAAAAAAAAATTAAAATCGGTACAGAATGAGCAGAATTTTGAGCATAAATTGACATGATATAGAATAGAATAAGTTCATAGACTAGAAATAAACACAGACTCACGAAAGGCTAGATAAAAAGAAATATTGCATTGTCATATTTACAGATATTTCACAAGTACAAAAATACAAAAATTTTTTTAATTCATAATAAATTAAATTCTTGTAAAATTTATTAATGTATTTTATTGTATTTTTATTAAAACTAAAAGAATAAAACTTAGTTAATAACTAAACCACTTCTTCTGAGCAAAGTGTAACCAACTAGTCTTCCATTACGTTGCCAATCTTTGCTTATCAGTACTACTGTATGAATATGGTTTGTGTCAATACTTAGCCAATACTTCGGTGTACATGCTGTGGTAGTTACTATAATAATTTTGAAAAACTAATTTTATAGGAAAATAACGCTTACTACTGAATGAAAATTTAATAAACTCCAGTTGGATTTAATAAATTTCAATTGGATATATAATTGATAATGATAACAATATAATAATTTTTCCGTATTAAATTTGTTTTTAACAAATATTAAGATTAATTATTAATATTAGTGACTATTTTACTTAATAGAAACTATTCTATTAAATAGAGAAGTTTCGAATAGTAGTGAATTGCAACAACACAAATTTTTTTTATTCAATTAAATTTTTTTATTATTCAATCAAATCAAAAGAAATAAAAATTTTGTTATTGCAATTCTCTACTGTTAGAAACATCTCTATAATTATTTGTTTAATAATATTTTATTTAATATTATTTCTAATTTTATTAACTTTTATTTAATTTCTTATTATAAGATTAATATATATAGTACAATACCGATTGTACAAAATGGTATATGTATGTATGCATGTATCGTATGTATATATATATATATATGAAACAAATTTTTAAACCTACAGGGAACGTATTATAAACTATTATTATCAGCTAAGGTTTTGATCTCATAGGAAATGTAATAAAGAACTTAGATATTCGTGAATGAATTGCTACATAATAAGTGTTTTGAATATGTAAACCAAATATCAAATATCGATTGTATACATCTAAATATATATTGGAGAATACAAAAATAATTTGTTAGATAAATTTTTTAATCCTTCTTGGTAATATCCCATGTAGACATTATGCTCTACAAGTTCATCTACTCTTAGGTCTTCTTTCCCAAAATGTCTGTCCGATATCATTAGCATAGGTATAAAAGATATTAGTCGCTCTATATAAATGCAATAAATCGGTTTTCCAGTCTAAAAAATGATTTCTTGCAACAGTTAGGATCTCCATATAATCTGTGGTATCACAATCGACACATTTTTGGAATATAAGATAGCCAAACTGACGTTCACTGTGGTTTTCCAGTTTCTAAAATAGTTTCTTGGAGCAGTTAGCGTATTCACATAAACCACAATATCGTAATCGATATATTTTGGGAACCTAAAGAAACCTAACTAACTTACAAAGTGTTTTTCCAATCAAAAATATAGTTTTTTGGAACAGTTAGCGTGTCCATATAAACTGTGATATCGGCTTAGTCCCATTTTTGGACCTAAGTGAGCCTAATTGACTGTTTCTTCTTTCATTTAAAAACATTAAATGTCAGTAATCGACAAAATAATTAAATAATATACAAAAATAAACTGTGTTTAATGATCATGGGATCAATTGTAATTATATCTTTATTTGTTTCGATAGAAAGTGTAAATATGTACAAGTCTTCCGTAGAAGGAAACAGAATCTTTCTTTTTATGAGCTACGCAGGTTGATTTTAAAACTTCAATTCTTTTAATCGATAGAAGACTCTGCCGACTCTTTGTTTACCATTCACGCAATCTGGCTTTAGGATATAAACTTTTCTAAACTATAGAATTCTACATAATGCTACAGAATCCTTCTTCATCAACCTCGTTAGTTAGTTTTGAAACTTGAATTTTAATAACCGGGTGTGTGGTCATAAATCGACAGTATATAAGCGCTACTTTGACAGAAGGTGGAAACTCTGCGATCACTAAAATTAACCAAATCAATCAAGCAAAATCCTTTCAACAAAACTACTTTTTTTTTAAATTTAATACATTTTGGTTTTTTATTTTTATATAAGAGTATGTGTGATAGCACATTTTTTTACATATTTTTGTTCATATTTAAAAAAAATATTTACATTTTAAGAAGAAGCAGTATAAGCAAAATACGAGAATTATCACAAAAAATAAAAAAAAAACATTAATTATTTATAAGAATAGTTTAAAAAAATAAAACTTAAATTCATAAAAACATAACATTTATAAGTGATTTTTTGGAATATTTTCAGTTTAAGAAACAAAAAGCAGATACTTAACCCTAAAACGAAAACGAATATCAGTTGACTTACTTAACTACCGCCAAATAGCTAATGTCTTTTTGGTAAGTATTTTTGCATAAAATTCCTAAATTAATATTAAATTCTAATTAATTGTAAATATGAACTTAAAATTAATAATTGTGATGATCTATATGAGTAGTTGATGAAGTGCTAGGAAGTGCAATATTTGGAGGACTTAGCACCTAATTTGGAATATGCCTTTTTAACGCCGGTAACTCAACAAACTAAACGTTCATTTTCATTGAAAATATGTTCATAATTTTCGATCAATACTTTTGCCAGTGTATTCATGCGACCGATGTCGAATTCAATTTGATTGGCGGATAATATGCAAGGACCCCAGACAATGGCCAGATTTGATGCAGGCATACGATTCTGTGAACTGCAGGCAGCAACGCTAATGGGTGTTATTATATTATTAATTAATAATTAATTTTATTAAATATCAACTAACTTACTTTGTTAGATGTTTGATGAGAAATTTTAATGTGGAACGATTTGGTTCACGCATATCATCCAGTGCGTCACGTAAACTTTGTATGCCCGCTGGATCACTTAAATTACGTCCAAAACGTTCGTAAGACTCTTGTGGTATTAATGGTGCACCCAATTCTCTAAAGAATTGCTTTAGCAAACTCGTCAGTGTATGTATATCATCTGTGACCAACAATTTAGGATCATATATATAACTTTCGGATAGTTTTTGTTTGAGTTCATCGACAGAAACTTTATTGCCGGAAGCACGATATAAACCATCCTGTAGTATACAGTCTTTTCGTTCTATAAACTCAACACAATCTACTACAAAGAGAGGTACATTTGGATATGTGGTTAAGTTCAATTCCAATTGTTCTAAAGGTGCACCGAATATTGGATATTTCGGCTTCATACCATCCTCCAGGTAAAGACTAGTAGCTTCAGCGCGCCGAAAAATTCCACGACTTTTTTTCTCGCTCTTTGGTGAACGCATGTTTCTAAAGTAAAAGAAATAGAATTTTATTTTTTATTGAATAATTTAAAATAATAATATTTAAATTATATATATTTATTTAAATTTATTCATCAAATGATTTAAACGACTAACTTACAATTTAAACACGCCGCGTTGCACTGCAAAGAAAAATAAAAAAAATATTAATTAACTAAAAGTTGTTAAAAATATACTAAATTTATACACAAACTTAATTAACATATAATATATTTTATTTCTATTAGTATATCAAATGAGGAAACTTGCTATTTTTGTATATGAAGAGTTCTCCCATTTTTTTTTAAAGTCACTCGCAATTCTTCTGGCAGAAATCGTCGCTGACCGCTCGAAATATCTACTTAGTTTGTATCTCGAAAGCTAGTTAATCATTGCGGTTTTGCACACTTAACTCAATGCATCAGAAAATCCAAATATGTAAACCTACAGATACATTTATATATTGGAGTTTATTATGTGGTAGAAATAATATAACAAAACCCGATTTCATAATCGGAAATCGTGATTCACTGATGTTTATTTCTCATATAAAATTTCGATTAATTTATGCGAATCATTCTGAAGTTTCGCTTGAGCCTCGCTTATTCGTGCTCTCCAGCACACTTTTATTTATTTTTATTTTATATTGGAATAATATTTTTAATTGTGACGATTATATGAATGAATTTAAGCATTTCTATATGGATTGAAATACACATTCTCTTCTTTCAAAATAGGAAATGCGAAAAAAAACAACTGAAGACAAAAGCGTTTTACTGTGGGATTAGTAAACCTCATTGGAGTAAAGGCAAATTACGTGGTTTATTTAATTATTATGATTAATTATTATTGCAAAAAAAAAAAAACAATTTGTATAAAACCAAAACTTTAGGGTATTTTTAAGAAAGTTCAGAGAAGCCCTAAAGTGGTCAGTTACACAGCAGTTCTTTAAAAAATGACAGTCATTGACTGTCATATGAATATAGTATATCTCACATTCATAAATTAAAATACGAAAAAAAAACCAAAATTCATGCTTTATTTCTAGATATATAGACGTCGAAAGTGACAAATTGGTTAATAAACTAACAAAAATAAGCTTACAGTTCATACTTGAGCGGCAATATATATAGACATGTATATCAATGCTTTAATATATTAGTCAGAATAAGGATCTGAAACATACTTCAACACAAAAAGAAACTAAAAAGTGATCACGATGACCTTGTCATGTCTACTTTGTTTGATGCAAAACTATCCAATTTTGTGCTTTTGTTCTCATGAAGAACTACTGAACCTACTGACAAAACATTATTTTTCGAACGTACAGAAAAAGAAGTGTTAATATCTTTGCAACTGCAAAGTAACCACGATTACTTATAAGTTATCAAACGAATGGCTACCCAATTTTCTTTAACTGTAGAATAATGTTTGACTCACCAAACAGACATTACATTACAAACACACAGAGGAACAGATGTCAGACTGCAAACTAACTACTGTTGCTTAAGAGATGTCAGATAAGGAGCTAGTCAGTTTTTAGCTCTCTTCTCCACAAAAAAACAGTAGAATAATGACGGACTCTTTAACGACACAGTATCTTCAAAACAGAAGAAGAAAAACAGAAGAATAGTAAGATGTCAAGGTCCTTACAACTGAAAGGTAGACATTAGTTACTTATGCACCATGTAACTCGTAACCTCGGCGGACATATGCCAGAGATTATATTCAAAAAATAAATCCCATGAAATTAGATAACTCCATGTACCTCAATTAACGATTTTTCGCCATTTTGCTACCACATTCCTCGCAAGAACCCTAGTATAGAAGAGTAGAGAGTAAATCCATTCTGTCGAGTTTAGTTAATTTAATAGGTCTTTCGTCTTCACCGATGAACAGTCTGATAAATTATCAAAGAAATAATGATGGACTCTTTACCGACACAGTATCTTCAAAACAGAAGAAGAAAAACAGAAGAATATTAAGATGTCAAGGTCCTTACAACTGAAAGGTAGACATAGTTACTTATTACTGATCTAACAAAAGAAATTTGGGTCTCTCGCTCTGTAACTTCTGTTACTTAAGGGATGTCAAATAGGGAGCAAGCCAGTTTTGTGCTGTCAAACTCCAACAACCAGTCTTCACAAACAATCAAACGATATAATCAGTATTCATATCAGTAGTACTTGATATATTTTCAATGATATTGGTGTACTGGTATATTTTCCATCAGATATATAAAGTTGGTTTTATTTTTAGCTTTTTATATCTTATTTATATACATCAGCTTATCTTTTCTCTTTCCCTTTTCGTTTTAATATTAAATATTTCCTTATTCTTTATTCATTGTTTTCTTTTTCACTTTTCTATCTTAAATCTCCTACTTCCTTTTCTTTTTCTTTTTCATAAACCCCGGTCTACATATCTTCTATTTGTTTCTCACTTATTCCTCTATTTATCCTTTATTTTTTTAAATTCAATTTTCTATTCTTTCTTTCTCTTACATCCTTCTAGCTGTAATACCTATATCTTATATCTAAATATTATTTAATTTCCCTTCGTATATATCATTTATACTCACATTTATTGCGCATACGCTCCGCAATGGACTTCTTATCATCTTCATTTGGCAAGTCCACTAAGTTTCCAATGGAAGCACTTTTGAATCGTTGTAAAATACTCAGTTGTTGTGTTTGGCGGGTGTCGAGGTCATCTTTAATCTCTTGGGCACGTAAAATTTCACTTTCGGAAACAATCTAAAAACATATAAAGAATAATATTTAATATATGTAGAAAATAAATTTTATAATATATTTTAATAATATATCTATAATACTTATATATAACAACAAATATATTTATTTATTATATAATAATATAATAAAAATTAATATATAATGAATAACTACAAAACTTTAAATAATATTGATAAATTATAAATATTATTTATATAATAAAAAGTACATAAGAGTAATTGTCCATTCTACGGTCAATATAATAGCCATGTCAATAAGCAAAACTGACGTATAAGAAGCGAAGATAATCCTCAAGCCGTTCACAAACACCATTACACACATTAAAATTGACTGTCCCGTGCGTTTTACATGCTGGCGGTAATATCGGTCCTTATTTCTTTCGATATGAGGACGGGAGCTAGAAGCTGCCGTTACGGTGAATGGCGTGCACCACGCTGACTGAATTTTTGTTTCCAAAAATGTATCAGTTAAGTCTTGAAGCATTGGAATCCAATGTTCAGGAAACCAATGCCATACGGCCACATTTATTGCAAAAACGAATCAAAAATTGGTATGATCGAACTCGTAACCTCGGCGAACATATGCCGGAAATCATATTCAAAAAATAAATCCCATGAAATTAACTTCCTGAGTATAATAAAAAAAATCCTTTCAATAATATTTCTGTCTTGCATTATCGTTTTAAGTTCCCATTCAGCTAAAAAACACTTCCAATATATGGAAGAGTTATATCAAAAATGGTAGTTCTTCCCTCTATGGAAAGAATTGAAATGAAGTATCCAATATAATTCAATGGACATTATTGGCTACGGCACGATGTTTCTT